CAAGAGTAACTTGTATACATGTAAGTTTATATATTCGTGTGTTTAGAATAAATTTTCCCTCCATCTTACAACGCACGAAGTTGGCACCACGGTATTCGACAAAAGACGAGACATACTATCATTTTATTCTAGATTTTAGAATTTTTCATTTAAGATTAAAATATTTCTTTCTCTATAATAAATATGATTGGCGCTATATCAATTCTATTTTGCGATACATTGAAGTGTAATAGCATTGGATCCGGAAATTTTTTCTGTGAGTGTGGGATGAAATTTTTAATTACATGAAATTAAAATCGTAAATAACGTTGATAAATCGATAAGCGAGTTGTGAAAACTAATGAATGAGTTCAGGATCTGTCCGGGTCCAATCCATGCGGTATTCTTCCACAACACGGCGAGGCATTGTTTCACACGCTGCCCGCGCTGCACCCTGTTATTATCTCTGCCACGAAACCACCCCCTTATTTTCGAGAACATCGACTTTCGGCACACCTGTGGTGTCTCTATGTTTTTGTAACACATTTTCGGTGGATGCGATTGAGCGTTCTTCAGCCGCGGCGGACTACGTTCGCGGCCTTGAACACTCGTCCTTGCACTCCGCAAGAACGACGAGAGTATTCGATGCCGTTTCCCAGAGGATATAGCCGATTACATTTTCATTTGTTCTCGAAGAACTGCACGGAGGGACTGTCACTGTGAATGAAATCGTGATTCAGCTACGGTAGGAATTGCAGTTAAGCGAACGATTGTATCGTGACAATTGTGCTTCCGGATTATTAATCCAATAGTTTTTTAACTAAATAAACTCTTCGTTGCAGGATTACAATTCTGCGTAGTCTTCAATGTAAACTTAACACGCGCGATATATTTATGTTTGCAATTACGTTACAAAATTCTATATCTGATTTTATTAAAAGGCGGAGGAAACAAATTTAGAATTTGCTAACAATAAAATAACTTATTGTTATTTTGTCGTCGAAGCATGTTGTATCTCAGACGATTTAATCGCGTGCGTAGAGCCGAAATGTAGAATTAATGCAAAATTTACTATTAACAATCAACGATAATGTAATCAAATTCCAGAAATGCTTCCGTGGGACCATTCGCATTTCATATAATATGTCGTTACACGACGAGCGAATTCCATGTGGACGTACGTGGCCGACGCAAACATTACTTAAGAATGTCCATGCGATTCTGATTATAGTAATTACGCGCGGCACGGGTAAACTGGTCTTTAAGACAGAGATACTATTTGTCGTGGAGTGACGTCCATTCTGTACGAGTCACGTTACACCTTTGAGAACGCAACGATCGCAAAGGACGCGTATTGTATGTGTGTGCCACGGCTTTTTATCCTTTTACTTTACTTAGGCGAACCCTTTTCCACCCCCTGTGCGCACTAGCAAATTATAAAGCCAAACTGTTTCGGCATAATTACGCGAACAATGGCGAATGTAACGAACGGGGAACGGAATGGGCGAGGACGCATTTCCAGAAACGATTAAGAATAATCGTCTCATGGAAATCTGGCTCGATGTGTTTCACGATGTTACGAATAGTCAGGCAAACAAGTGCAGTCCGAAATGTATCGAAAAAGTTCAAGTTACTTTATCCTAGCTCTGTGTCCACGTATACACGCTCCGCACAATGGAACACTTCCGCCCGCTTTTACGAATTTATTTAATTAATATTAATAATTAATAAATTTGTTTTTGTGAATTTTATTACAAGTGAAAGTTGTTTTCCCTGGGTTTTATATCTGAAAGAGTTAACTCTTGCATTCCCACGCTTCATTTCTTACGTAAAATATCAGTGTATTTAACATTCTCGAGAAATTCTTTGACGGAAAATATATCCCAAGATTTTTACACAATGAGCCCCAGCTAGGAAATCACGTGAAAATTATGCAAATTCCTTTTCATTTTTAAGGCCAGTAACGTGTTATACTAGTTCTATTTTGATACGTACGTAATGGGCTATCTCAGAGTATATTATAAACCTTCTCTTCTCTTCGCTTCGTCGAGTTCGCCATTTATAAATACACCGAAAAGTTTCGCTGTTCTCCTCGGGGTGGAAATTTGATTCCGGTGGGGCGGTTTGAGGTACAACCGCAAGGGGCTTCCTCTCTTCTTCGTGGTCTCTCGCTCCCTTGTGCCTTAAGCGAGTCTTACGCTTACTTACGGACTTACGCTTGGGACGACGCGCGGAAGGAAGAAGCCGGAGCGACCCGCGGGCTAATCGTTCTAACGAGATCATACTATATTATTCCGACTTTGCTAATCTTTATTAATCTCGTTTCCACCTGGGGCGTACGTTTCCGCCGCGAGTATGAGTGTTTCGCGAAAATGAACCAGCGATCGTCTTCGTGACGGGCCTTCGGCGTTTCGATTGACGTGATCACGACAAATCATGATGCGAGCTCTCTCTCTCTCTCTGATACCAGATATTATCAAAGATACAACATCAAAAAGAAAGACCGCAGTTGCTCAAGAGATAAAAGATTTCGTTGTACAGATAAAGAAATTCGAACAATTTTTATGCATTCTCTGATATTTCTGTATTCAAAATAACAGTGGAGCAGGTGACAGAAATTTTTCGTAAATTGATCAGACATTGCAATGCATTCTATGTTGTTAAATATTCAATTAAGTTGCAACCTAAAGGAATATTCAAATCCATAAAGAGAAATGAGAAGAGGAGCAATAATTTATCGTTTTTGGACTTTTTAGATTTTCTCTCTCAACGTTTTAACACCATAAGTTATAAATTCACAATCCGCCTATTCATTTTCTAGAAGTCTTCATTTGTACACTTATTAGACAATACTTACCAATGATTGTCCAGGCATATAAGATTATATCGGTGAATATTTAGGCGTATTTTGATGTCTAGTTGTATCTGGATATTTTACAACCGTCCAGATGTGAATAAGAGCACGTCGCGCGATGCGATTACCTCGAAGGCGTTGCGTATGATACGAAAGTAGAGTATATGATATTCGCTATGCGATCGAGGTAACGTTCTGGAACACAAGGCGAGCCTGAATCACGGCGATTCACGGCGCGACGTGCCGTTTGATCTCGCTAAGACGCTCGCTAAACACTATCTTACACGGACAGCGTATCCACAAGAGTCGGACTTTCTAATCGGTAACTACGCGCGCTGCTCGATATCGTCGAACAACGTTTCATCTCTCTCCAGAAGAGGATCTCGACATGTATTTCGCGATCATTGCAATCTCGAGGATCGAGGGCATAGGTAAAAGCGGCAATTCACGGGGCGGGGGGGGGGGAGGAGGATGCACGAGGATATTCGTGGCTCCTTCCAACGAATAAAATTTATAACTATATCCACGTCGCGCTATCTAGCAAACGAAGATCTTATCTGCGGAACATCAAACCGGGAGATTTCCTTAGCTGGCAATCTTTGTCAGTAGAGGCGACCTCAGGAAATGCGATTAAGCAAAATGTGAAAGTGAAAGCGAATAAAGGTACACTTAAAAAAGGGTGCGAAGTACACGAAAATAGAATGATTCAGTTATTTAAAAATCCCGAAGACGAAAGAAACTTTACTAATACGTGTGCCGCTTATGGTCTACTTGTTCAGAAGTGATGTTCAGAAATGATTGTTCAGAAATGAGAAAGAAAATGTAAATAATTTTTTAAGTAAATTTCTAAGGAGAAAAGAGACTAGAGAGGGAGGGGGCGAGAAATAAAACGGTTGATGTAAGTTATGTTTCCTTCTACTCGAACGATGCAATGTGCCGTGTCTTGGGTAGGCTCTGGTTGTTCCTAAGAGCATGCACCGGCGGCAAGGTCTTACATCGCCAAGACGTCGGACACGGCACTGCGCCTGTACGTGTGTATATACGCGCCGGGCATAGAATTACCAAGGCGCGACTTACCTGGACGCATCCTCTGTGACCAATTATCCTGCTAACGAACCCCGCGCTCTCGCACACCGCCGCTATCTAGCCGCCGCTCCGCCGTCGGTCTGGCCGGGCTAATTAATTATAACAATGTCGTTAATTTTACGCGACCGAGTCGAAACGTTACTGACCGAATCGCGCGCGAATTCTCTTCCTACACAGTACCTTCTTTCAATCCGCTCTCACTGTTAAAACTCACTGTAAAAAAACTGGCATCGCGAAAGATCCGAAGAATTAGCGGCAAACGATATATTTAGGGAGTAAATGATTAAAACACAAGTGTGCCATATTTAATAAAGTCATTATTTTCTTGTCGTAATTAGAGATTTGATTTCGTTGTACACTCGTTTTGTAGACACGTATCTTTGGATAGAGTGCACATTTTAATACTATTAAAATTTGACGTGGTTAATATTTTATTTATAACTAATATAATGAAGCAAGAGGTATTATAAATTTTGCGCTAAACGAAATGTCCAATACATTCGACGTTTTAATTTATTAATATATTAATAATATAATAATGAAATAATATATAATACAATAATGAAAAATTGTAATGCAGGTAGTGTGATATTCCTTCTTCCGGAAAAATGTTATTATTTTGACAGGAGAAATGTATTTATTATTTTCAATACGTATTACATATTTTCGGAATAGCAAAAATTTATTATCGTTTCTCACGCGCATAGCAATGCTTTCCTAATACATACGTCTCTAGCACAAGAAACCGGAAACGTTTGCTAATTCACTCTATCGCCTTCTACCTCCCAAGGACAAATAATTAAGAACGTAGCATGCGAAACGAGATCGTAATGAAGGGAAGCTCGTGATGCAGCAGTTATAATGTAGAAGAGCGTGGTCCGCTATCGTTATCCCTTGGCCTTAATACCACCGCTTGCATATCTTGTCGGTCTTATTATTATAATTACCGTCATTATTCGCCACAAAGTCGCTCGTTCTGAACGTCGTGACTCACGTCTCGTCGCGAGCATCGCCAACGACGATCGCTCGCGATCGATTCCGCTACGCTTTCGTCGACGATATCAGCGCGATTAGCGCTTCATCCCGTGCAAAAAGCGATGGACGATGACGACATGTGACACGTTCGATTATTATCTTATGCAAAATTGGATTGATACGGTGCAATTTACCTCTTTTACACCTGGAATCATATCGCATGATTGGTATGTCATTTAAAACAGTTTCTGCACTTTAATTAATCAAGTACGTGTAATTGAAGAATTGCGAAACGCGAAAACTTGTTATTATTTTTGCTATGGTATGCGGCAATGAAATACACTTAATAACGATTCATTTCCGTATGTTTTTGAGACAGCAAGTATATGAATATGAAGTTATGCAATGTCGTGAGAACCGATAGACTGAGACAAAACAGAACACGTTAGTAAAAAAAAATAAATACCATATAATGATCAGTAGACAAATATCTCGAAATATATATTTATGTTCTCAAATACTTGCATATATTCCACATCTTCTAGTGCAATTTATTTTTAAGAGATTTTCTTATTTACAGTAATTTTTTATCTTTTTATTTTTAAGATGTTAGGTATTGTTTAAGTACGCCAAAATATGTTACTGCTCTTATTAAAAATTTTTAAGAATTTAATTCTGCAAACTAAAAATTTTAATATTAAAGATTTAAACGTAATGTTATAACACAACGTTAGGTGGTAAGAGAGTATTTCTGTTATTAGAATGCGGTACAAAATAAAGAATACAGTACTTGACTTCTTGTAACAAATTTAGATTCTTGTTCTCTTCATCAGCAATTTGAAACTTATCACATCCCCAATGTTCAAAGTCCACGAACGCCAAAGCATTTTGCAATGTCATGGTATCGCGACAGTGTAATCATGAGTCACGATCAGTCAATTCTCTCGGGCATAATCGCGTATCACGGTCCGTTCGACTCGTGTCTCATCACCAATGACTCTACGTTAATCGTGCCTTGCAATTTTTCAGGAAAAATGGCAAATTTTCGTGTGACTCATCACGCGCGAACGACGAATCCTTAATTAAACCGCTTAGGAGACCGTTAACGATGATCCTCCGAAACGTTGAATCGCGCGACGTCTTCGGGATTACTAAGCAATTGTGTACCCATAATGACAAGCGGAAACGCTTGTTGCAAGGAAAACGTGCACGGAACACCTGTGGTTTGTTGCCACAATTATAATGCTTACTTTGTACGACTATGATTAGGAAGATAGACATCTTTTTCGGAAATTGCTAGTTTGCTAAACTTGACAAAATTTTATGTATTTGAATACTCCTCTGTGTATAACATATCCTGTATTTTAATTTATACGAGATATAAACAATATTGCACTGCTTAAACTTGAAATTTTGTCAAATCAAAACGAAATTGATATATTAATTTTATTGAACGATTTCTATAAGTTTCGATGCAATCGGTTGTTTTCGGTGAAAGATATATTGCTAGCTTCAAAGCAAACCTCATAAACTTTGGTTTTGTCAAACGGGAAATTGGGATTTCAGACTTCGGATATTGCACACGTTACAATAAGCTAAAATAAATATCGGCATTTGTTTACAGAGATATTAAAAAGGAACTCGAGGAGAGTTAATATTTCCTCATCACTCTCTCGCTACGCGTGTTTCACTACATTCCATTCTCAGATTCCCTTTTCCGACTCTCGCGCACATTCCTGGATCCTTTTTACTCGTCTCTTCGCGAGCATAGTTATTTTCTCGCGATCTTCTCATATGAGTCGCTTGCTTCTTATTGAGATGCAATGTCGAGTTGTCTAGCATATTTTATCTTTTTTTTTTAATGGATTCTTACTCTAGTCTTGACTAGATTAACCTGCTCATGAGTAATACTTATCGAGTTCACTATTTATAACAGTTAAAAATTAACTTGTTTTGAATCTCTCTCAAGAGAATATCGTTATGTGATTAAACTTTACAAAAAGGCAGTTATTAAGAAATTATGCAAGGTAAATAATGGAAAAATAATTAAACCGTGATTGCACGAAAGAAGATAATTTTGTTTTGCTAATTGTTATTTTTCTTATAAGTATAAATATAATAGTTGTGCTCGCATGATATATTATTATTGTCAACTAAACGATTTGTTGCTTCACTTCCACCCAAGTTTTCGCGCAATTTTCTCCACTCTCTGAGTTTTAATTTTGCTAACTTTTCCCTGTTCTTCACGCACATCGAGGATAATGCCGCGCGACACGGCGAAGTGTGAATCGATCAATCGCCACAGGTTCACGCGTCAACGAGTATGACATCGCGTCGGTTCTGCGACGTAATTACCGTGCCGACTGGCAACACGACCTATTAAAACTAAATCAACTTCTCATCAGGCGCGGCAATAAGTCGATCTGTCCTCCAAGACCCTCCAAGCGGCATCTTTTTTGCTGTGGAAAGCAATAGCGAAGCGCTGTCTACGTAATGTTAATAAACCGTAAATAAGCCGTGCTCACTCTTTCGTCACAAACGGGACCTTAATTAAGAGGATCGATGGAATATTTCAGTGACTTAATCTTGGCTCGTTCTGCGGCCCTCATTCACTTTCGATACGAAAATCTCTTCAAGAGAGAAAATATTGCAGCTATTGAGAATCGATTAGAACTAAATCACGATTGAAGAAGGTAAAGAAATTATTGCAATAGGAAATCTTTGACAGTAGAGAAAAGTCCTCTTTTATGAGATAGGATTTCAATGTGCGATAGTAGGTTTCCAAGGTCCAAATTCAATCGCAAATATTTTCCCGCAACGATTACACGATCTAACAATCAATTTTCGACTAAACAGATCTCACTCCAAGGGCAATAAATTCATGGCGGGACCAACAGATGATGCCTATTAATTTAGCAGAAACCCCACTATCTCGTATTAGGAGCCTGTTACGTAATGGGGGAGATTTTCCTATATTATTTTGCGATGCTCGGCGATAACGCTCAGCGATATCACACAACATATGCCGCAATAATGAGCATGCATAATTTACTGTCTATAGCACTTCGTTGTATAGAATACCGGGAATACCATAGAATACCGTAGAATACCGTAGAATACAGTCCGCGGAATAGTACAATTAGTTTTATTGCGGGACGTCATTAAATTTAAACTTCAAGTAACTCCTTAAACAACGGTTCTCTCTTAAAGGCAATGTGTATATCTTCGATATCCAAGTATTTCGCCCCGCCGTTGAGAGCGATGCCGTACGACATCGTTCTGTCTGAAAGGATTAAGAGCGAAGGCATTATCCGCCGGTTCTCTCCGTATCAACGATCGCGAGGGTTTGTCCTGCCGGGAGTCGGCACTCGGTACGCGCCGCGCCACGGAGGACCAGCCCGAGCAATGAAAATTCAATGACGCGAGCAATTTGAGCTCGCGGCGAGCTCGCAAGCTACAATCTGAAAGTATAAACGGTAGTTGTGCGCTGCGGGCGCGAGCTTTCTCTCTTTCTCTCCCTTTCTTACGCTCCTCTCATCTTCGTCATGTTCGCTCGGTGTTTCTTGCGCTCTCCCTCTCTCAGTCTCTCTCTCTATGCTCTCTCGCTACTACAGAGCTCACATATATATATACTGCGTGGTCGCCGGTGGTTGGCTCGCACAGAATAATCGCGTAATTTGCGTGTAACGATGCAATTTGTAGTTATGGCGACCCGGCTCTTTTTCCATCTTCTTTTTTCTCCCTTCGCCCGTTCTTCGTTTTTTTTTTGCCAGTACCGACGACATCGACGTCGGCAACGACAACGACGACGAGCTCCAAGGAGCTTAAGCTTTAAAGATGAGAAGGACTCGTAGATTTAGCGCGAGCCCGAATCGCCTTTGATCTCTCTTTAGCGAGCTTATTTTCTCATTTAGCGTCGAAGATGAAAATGGAGGAGCCGGAGTCGAACTTTAGTTTCGGAGTCGTGATAACAACTTGAATCTTCATAAAAATCGTCATTTTCCTCATGGTATATCAACTTTGTCTAGCGAAAAGTACTTTTTGTACTTTGTACAATTACAGAGCTTTACAAACTTAATTAGTACGATCTTGAATCTATACTTACCTTGATTTCTATTGATACTTTTCTCAATTTATTATTAAAACAGCATTAAAATAGCATCGAGTATTTATATTTAAAAAAATCTCTTAATCTTTTCTATTCCTCACTTAATAAAGATCACTTTGTTCCAACATCATGCGCCGAAAGACGACGGTTCATTCCCAGATCACGGCGGCGACTCACACTTTACTCACGCGATTGTTTGCGTTACCGATATCGCGTCCTCTATCTCGACGACGAGACGGATGCCTCCGCGGATTCGCACGAGAGAACGAGAGTATTAGTAAGCCCGCGAATGACTTACAGACCGCGCGGCAAGCAAGACCACCTCTTTATCTCGATTCGAAAGTTCGTGCGCAGCGGGCGTTCTGTTACGATATAAATTGCCGACTTAGCCGCGCTAACTATTTATCTATACGTATACACGCCGCGCCATCGATCGTGATGGTCGACTTCGCTACATCTATAATAAGCTCGATCCTCTGGCGAGATGTACGTATATCTAATCCTTACGAACTATCCTTTGCGTCGTCGCAGTTCCTACAAGCGCGGATTCCATCGTCGCTCGTTGAAATAATTTTCCGTGAATTCGCGACAAAGAAACATCATCATCTAATAATTCTACACCTTATCAGCATTTTTAAGAAAATTATTCGAATTATAATTTGAATTAACGAGAGTAAACGTCAAAATGTTTTCCGCCGCAATACATTTTGATAAAATATTATCTGTCTAATAATTGCCTACCGCATGAACATTTATTTATAATACTTTTTACCATGAAGCGAATCTCAAGAATACTTGACGTAAATACTTCAGTAATTTTGATTGGAATTGAAACTTATACACAAACTACTATAAAGCAAATAAACCGTTCGAAAATTACACACAAATTGCATCAATAATTCGCAATTATTATAGCATCGCAATTTATTAAAACGAAATAAAATATTCCTATAAAATAATCACAAAATTATTATATACATAACGCAGTTCCATCTGTTTACATTATCCTACAGTTTCGATTCCTAAAGAATCAACTTTTTAAAACAAACTCACAGAAACGCTTCATAATACTCTCTTCCTTCCCAAAGATACCTATCAAGCCTTGAAACCTGTTTTTATCGTTGCATCTTTGTTAGAATAAATCTATTAGTATAAACACTTCCTACAGAGATACCTTCGATTTCGTTCCGCCGGTGCTCGCACGCAGGTGCGCGCGCGCGCGCATTCTATCCGGCGAGGTCTGTTTTAATTACAATCAACCGCGTGGCCCCTATCACCTTTTAACCCTCGGTACCACGCGCGCGCGCGTACTGGCCGGCGCTGTACTTGCTCACGTGCGTGTCCCACGTGCTTTTACGACGCGGAATTATTGCTCGCCTCGCTGTTTATTAAATTGAATTGTGTCGCACCGCGTCGTCACCCCGTGGCAGTGGCTCTTTATCGGACTCCTTTCTCTCCTGCCGCTCCATTACCACCAGCAATTAACTAACCGCTCATTAGGAAGCCGCGTGCACGGCCATTCACGCGCCAATCAAAGAACGGCCGACCTGTCGGCTTGCTACGATTATTATTATATACGGTGCGTTCGCCTTTGCTGTTTGCAGTTTTCCACGAGTGAAAAGATGATGCGGCGGAAAGAGTTTGAATGATTATATTGTAGATGCTTGAGTAAAGGAAAAAGCGAAATTTCATCTTACGCTCGAAAAGAATCGATCGTTAAATAATCAAAATCATTCCATTTATACATAAGCTTTACAGTGCTTTTAGACAGAACCAGTTCTACCCCAGAAATTCTCAAAGAAACGGATACAGATTGAAATCGTCTTAATGCCTGGCTGACATCTAATCGGCATTACGACTTTACAAAAAACTCTTATAAACGCCTTCAACATGCCGTGTTGTCCCACGATTACATGATTTTCAGGGTAAATTTTAGAAGAAAATTCTTTCCGTGCATAAACGGCGTTAAACTATTTAATCTGAGAGATAGATTTCAAATCAATTCTTTCCTAATGGTAATAGTTAGACGAGACTTTGCTAAATCTACGCATGAAGTTCTCCGCGGAAAAGGAAATGTAGCTGCCGTAGTTAAAAACTGCATGTGGTAATTAAATTTCCATTGTAAAATATGGACAGCTAATATTTCGTTGTGATAGTTAAATATTTTGCTACTATGGCTATTGCATTAGGTGCGACGGCAAACCGTTTGCTGTGCTTTAGAAATTTATAATTTTCCCGAGTCGAAATTTTGATACTATTTAGACACTTTTGAGAATACTTTACACCTACGTAGGTCAGCAATAACCTACTTTGATAACATTATATTTTTTTACTCCTTTCTTGAATCTTTAATTCTAAAAATTTACTTTAGCTCCTACTTAAAAGGACCTATTTGAATGCTAAATTGGCAAAAGTAGAAATTTCCGACACTGTCAGTTTTAAAGTAGGAGTAAATTTTGTACTTGCTGTTCGACCTCTTTTACTGTCTCAGGTCCAACTATATAATAGAACTAAAGGTTCAACATAGGGCCGAAATTTCGACTCGGGATGGCAGCAAGATATTTTCAGCAAACCATGATTAGCTACGGTAGCGAACTTTTTTTCCAATATCCGGATCATCGATCGCTTCAACTCCGGAGCGATATCCGGATATAAATCCGGAGTAACGCGGGGAAAACTGGCGGTTCGCCTGTACCGCGGGATAACGTGGCGAAAAGGAGAAAGAAAGAGAGGGAGAGAGAGAGAGCGAGCGTGGAGTGCTCGATCTCAGCGGGACGGTTACTAATAGGATTTTCGTGATCAAGTCCGTCGGCACTTTCGACTCGACTGACTCCTCATTCCCATAAGGAGGCAGCCGCGATATCGAGCGTCGCGCGCGTGTGCGGCCGCCATTGTGCCAGATCGTGCATCCGCCGTAACTTAGTATCCGCGCTCCCTACGTTGACCTCAAGGTGCATCGGTCTCGTTGCAACGTGCATGTTACAAAATTTGCGTAATCACGTATCATCGGTCCGAGCCTGCCCGTACCCCATCCGCGTTTCTGTTCCCCACCGCCGTTCGCCAGATCACGCTACGCAATCTTGTCGTTCCACACGTGCACGTTTACGTGGTACGTACGTGCGCCGCGAGATGTATCCAATAAACAAGAGAAACTTACCGTGCCGTTCCACGAGCATTAGTCCCGTCACGTTTATGGTTGCTCGTACACGCTCTATCAATAAGAATCTGCGTAACCGTCCGCATACTCAGATGGATCTTGATTTCAGCACGTGGTAGCTAATCGCTTATGCTTTATCGAGTGCCGATCGTGCTGTCTCTCGTTATTACACGCGTGCATTGTAACGCGCGAATTAACGCGGACATGGAGAAACATATTTCTGCTGTCGGCGAAAAGTGGCTAATGTTTTTATGCGAAGAAGATTGGTCTCGCGAGGCCAGTCTAATCGTACGTGACATTAATGGAGAAAGTACGACTGACGTCTGGAAATTTAAATTGGCCACAGAGAAAAATTGCAGTAGGAAATAGATTTTTTACAACGAGGACATTCCAAAGTGACAATATGATAGATAATCGCATTTAAATTGTACTAAAAAATATATTCCACGGTGAAGACTGGTGCTAATATTTTTTTAATAGATTTAGGATGTTTAATTGTACGATCAAAACTGAATTTCACTACAAGGTATTCTTCGCTTTCTTTTCAGGGTGCAAGAGTTTCTTCAAGAGGAGTGTCAGGCGGAATCTAACGTACTCGTGTCGAGGGACTAGAAATTGTCCGATCGACCAACATCATAGAAACCAGTGCCAGTTTTGCCGCTTGAAAAAGTGCCTGAAGATGGGCATGCGCCGGGAAGGTATGCACTGTACTGAACCCTTTTTACGAATTTTATTAGCGATCGATCTCCACTGGTGATTACATCGGGGTCGCCGAAATGCCTTAACGGTTCGAAGTCCACGGAGAAAAAGATTACAAGCGCCAGGTTTTTTTTTAGAGAAATTGCATCGAAATTTTGACAAAATATCTTTAATAATGCTGTTACGTCATTTACTTATAATATTTGTTTTACATTTCAATAACATAAATTCATGTTTTCGTTCAAAATTAAAATGTCATTGTAAGATTAAATAAAATATAATGAAACAAACAAATGCAATTCATAAGGCTCTGACGTGAAATCACAAATACGAAGTAATAAAGGATATACGAACCAAGACAGGATGTTAGTGTCTAAATGATTTTAATTTTTTTAATTTATCGCGAAAAACTTACCTCAGCCAGGGTTTGAACCTGGATAATTAAATAAAAATGTTAAACATAGAAAATCAGGTGCTTGTGATATTTTTCCCTAGGATAGTTTCTTCTGTCGCGCGTCTTTTGCAATAAAAGGACGAAAAATGGTGGCGAGATGATGTTTCTCCGATACATGGAATAAATCTCGAACAAATGTTTAGAATCGAATATACGTACGTGTCAAAGTGCACGATGACGAAAATATTTCTATTTGCACGTCGTGTTGTTCTCTGAGAAATCGCGCATTTCACAATTCGATTGAAAGTGATTCGTAATGTTGCAAAGAGACGACTTTTATATTAAATTCGATTTGACCTCACAGTTTAATCAAGAAGCAAAGCCTTTTACGACTATCGATTTGGAAGCCACGGCACTTGTATAACTGCAATATTCGGAGAAACGTCGCCGACAAAATATCGATCTGATGATAACGTTCGCGACTCGCTGTGATCACCCGTTAAACTCTCCGTCACACGGTCCGCAAATCGAGCTCCCTTCTCTGATTCTTGATATCATGCATTACCTCGATTGAGCTGCGGAATTTTTGAAATTATATATATTACGCGTAATAATACGCAACACAACTTACACATCTAGAATTATACGTCGCTTATTTCCGTGCGATAATCACGAGATGTTGCGCTTTCAAGTCTGATGCGGAGAAACTTTCGACGGCGATATAATTAATGCGTTATCGCGTTGTAATTTATTATGCGCATGGTATTAGCTCAACAAGCGCGCGGTCAATCACTCTCGTTCATTACATATATATAATTATTTGGTCTCCGCGACTAAGTCCCCCAAATTAGCTCAGGGGTCCCGAACACACGCGCGCTGTATTTTGGCAAATGCCTACATCCGAAGGCGTCACATTTCGAAACGTGGCTTTCGGCGCGCTTCGCCGCGGCGGGAACTTTTAATTGCAGCCCGTGGAAAGGCCGGAAAGGTTCCCACGCCTTATCCCCGCCCGTGATTCCACGTTCCTCCGCTCTTGAACTTGCTGGCTACTCGCACCGCGGCGCGATAACATCTGACCTTGTTCCGCCGCGCGCACGAGGAGGAGAGGAGCGCGCTCTCTCTCTCGCTGGTCATCGGCTCTCTCGACCTGCCCAGGTGTACAACCACTTCCGTCCGAGACGTGGCCGTCCATCGTGGCCGGCGCGGCCGTCTGTCTGCCCCGGAGCGTGCTCGCGCCGCGATCGTAAACCCGGTAAATCACGCGTTTTTACGCGTATCGGCCGCACGCGTCGACTCGCACGGCTATCGACGAGAGGCGCGCACGCGGATCGGCGATTCTGTCGCGCTGAGTGGAAAATGTAACGAGATACGGCGGCTGTGCGATTGATTCGTTAGTTTTTCAACCACAGCTTTAATCAAAGACACCACTTTGCGGAGGAAAGTCATTAAAGCGACACATCGGTATCAATAACGCAGATATAAAAGATTGTTTCGTTGTTTCGAAGATTGCTATCGTTTTAGAAGTAACCTTGTAACATCATGTGTTACGCTCTCAAGATAGGCCTCTGCTGATCGCATCGGCTGCTTTTTAGTGCTCGCATCAAGCGTGAAAATTGCTTTACTAGACGGATACGTAAAAAAAAAACAATTTAATGCTAATCTTAAAATATCTCTTGAATCAAAGTCTTAAGAATATAATCTGTACATGAAATGGAAGTAGACGTGCTTCATTTGTAAAATTGCGAAATATTGTCTCGCCGGTATCTTTTATTACAAATTATCGGAACCTTGAGACCGGAACGGCTGTCCTTCATTTTGATCTGGCCTCTTTCGTATGTGAGTCGCAGAAAGCGCACGACTTCCCAAAGGCACATTCTCGAATATCGTGAGCCACATTGTACCTCATGAAAGAGAAGCTCGCGCACGATTATTCGCACGAGAGCCGCCGGCTCTCCTGCCCGCGGCGCAGTTTTTCCCACAGGAACGTAGACGCGAGGAGCGCAGAAAAGACGTCGCGTTTTCTGCCCTGTCACAGCGACATCCGCCCATTATCCGCGATGATGCCCCGGTCTTTGATAATAATTCGAGTTGCTCGCGAGCACGGGGCACGTAACTCTGTATACACTCACCTGGTCTCTGCCATATACGTTCGCACGAAAGATTCGCGGGAAAGAAAGAGAGACAGAAAAAGAGCAGGGGAAGAGGACGAAAGAAGCAGAGAAGAAGAAGTAGTAGTAGAAGACGAAGAAGAGGCCGAAGAAAAGAAGAGTGCATGAAGGGCGGAGGAAGAGAATGACGAGGGCAAGGGGGGTTGCCGGCACCGTCGGCAGGAACGGCAGCAGCAGCAGCAGCAGCAGCAGCGGCGGCAGCAGCGGCAGCAGCAGCGGCGGCAGCAGCAGCAGGAACGGCAACAGCAGCAACGGGAGGAGGCAGAAGAGGCGAGAGGTCGTGGATGATGGAGGGGGGAGGGTTGAAGGCGCGAGAGGAGAGAAGGAACGAGGTGGAGTGAATGTGGAGGAGCGATGAGAGGAGCGGCGGGAAGGAGGGAAGAGAACTAGAAAGAGAGAGAGAGAGGGGAAACGATGGTCCGAGGTCAGCGGGGTGCATGACCTTACCTCGGGGCCCCTTCCTTCCGTGGGGCCCTCGAGGCAGACAGGATGCGCTGAAGATTACCCCGTAGATACTGTCCGCGATGATTACAGAAATCTAGGAAGCCGCTCAATTTAATTAACCCTTAATTGCGAGCGCTCGGGACGGGATGGTGCGTTTACTCCGGTATCCTGGCGCATTTCCCCCGTCCCCCTTGTCTATTCGAGGACGATGATGATGATGATGATGGTGGTGGCGGCGACGGCGGTTGTTCCCCATGTGTATGAGCGCGCGACGATGCGTGAGTTATCGCCCCGCGAAACGAAGCGCACTTTCTTTCAGCGACGAACGTTGGACGGAAGGGACCGTAGACCAACTGCGGCTACGGTGTGCAGTACAGTTACGTTGCAGATCCTGTCTGGAGCTTAGACTCCGTATCGCGTACTTTTTATACAAACGCATTTTCTAAACGTTATCAAACGTGTGTTACAGCTTGAAATTCGAAAAGCTTCTTGTTTTACGAAAAGCATTTACCTACGTAAAAAAATATATAGATTTACATATCTCTTTCTTGAAAAATAATAATTAAGCGCTAACAAGTATAAAAATGACGTAGCTTTCATAAAATCTTGGCAAAGACACGCACGATTCTTTTCTTAATTCTCAGTTAATATCTCACACTGTTATTCGTCGTTATTTGTGATGCAACGAATCTCTAGAAGATATTTTTTTCAATATTTATACAAAAGAACAAAGTCCAGTGAATTCAAGAGATGTAAAGCAATTAAGATAGAAAAACTAGCACGGGCAACCGCAGATAGCACGGTAAGAAGTCCATAAAAATTCTTAAAATATAAATTCCTTCATATATTTTTATGCGGATTTCTTATCGCGCCATCACATGCCATTGGCTTGTGTGAATCTTTTTATTAGATACAGGTTTTTTGCTAATTTTTTCCGAGAGCTTTTAATCAACGATTTCTTATGCATTTAAATGACCCTTTGTATTTTATCTCGTGTAATTCCTTGCGATGACGGCCAGAGTTTTTTTGGAAATCTTCGTTGCAATCGAAAAAAATGTATCTTATTAGTCAATTTTTTCCGCTTCGTGATCACGGAATTGGAGATCAGCTTTATCGCGTTGAGCGCTCTTCAGTTGGTCGCGTAACTATCGAGTGTACCCATCGCGATACACCGATAGCGATTCGCAACTAGAAGGCCCCGTTACGTACTTAATACGCTCGTTAAAACGAGGAACTTAGAAACGCACTCGTTCGCGGACGCGCACGTTTCTTCCATACCCTCGCAATAAATCTGCACTGTTTATTTTACAACCCGCAGCCGTTACTACTTCGCGCCTGTTTTGATATCTTTACCTGCAGAAAAAGAAGAAAAAATAATAGCGTTCGGTATCCTGCGCGCCGAAGTAGCTGCCGTCTCTTTAATTTATGCACGTGCTAAGATAATTAACCCATTCAGACACGGATGCATTTACATTTCACGTGCCAATAATATTGAAAATATCGTGGCGCGTTACGTGCGAGAAGTTATATTTTCCATGTTTTTTCTTCTCTAACATTAAGGATTTAATGGATGAGTTCAATTCTCTAATTTCCGAAATAAACTAGCGAGGATAGCGTTGTAAAAGAGAAAGGAGCAATTATTAAAGTTTAACTTCAATATTTTACCATCTTTTACTACGTAATGTTATCTGTCATTTAATACATTGAGTTCATGAAAATATTAATATGTTAGCGTAAAAATACACAAGAAAAAACAACTTTCTTAGAAAAGAAGAAACTAATTGGTATACTCCTATTAATTTTTTGCTTTCGTAAAATTAACGATATGTTTATCACGTGGATCCCAAGCAGTCGAAAAAATGTGTCAAAGTGCGAGCAAAAGATTACGTTAACTTCATTAATTTCACCAATTTCAGGAATTATGTAACCGTTTCTCCGTTTTTGCTCTTTCCCTTTCTCTCAGAGACGAATCCATTTGTCACAGTATTACATTTTTCCCACA